GTTCTGGATAACCGTTCGCCGTTAATGCTATAGTAAATCCGTTATCTCATTTATCTCTTAATTCACTAACATAAATGACATCTGTAGACGTCCATTGCATTTGTTTGTAGATGCAAACGACTTCCGTAGTAGTTCTATGTTCTTAGTAATATAGAACAAAAAAGAAGTAAGTACGCTTTTGCAAGCGCTCACTGATTTTAAAGTGAAATGCCCTGCCATTACACTCTACGATGATACCACTTTAAATTTACGCTTATGCCCCAAATCTTATGGCGTTGCTCATCAACGGCTACGAAGAAAATCAAATGTCCGGCAGGCATAACAATGTTGAAAGAAACTCCTCCAAAGTTTATTATCAATAAAGGGCAACACGTTCACGGCGAACTGAAGCGCAACAAAAAAATACGGTTCAAGCAAACATCAACTGTTCAGCGTGGGGAAAATTGACGGTACAATGAAATATCAAATCTTGAATCCAGCGGGTGGTATTGTAAGCACAGCTCATTCGGCGCAAAGGACTGCCCAGCTGAATCACGATCCAACGATCTCCATTCAATAGCAGAGAGAATTCGTACAGAGAGTAGGCATTTAGAATATGTCACATTCAGTAGGGTTCAAGGATTCAAATTCAGTAGCTGATAACCTTTCATCTGATTTTGAAGTCAACTCCATCCACACAATAGATCTCAATCTGAAAGTCCTGACGACGAAAAAAAGCAAAAACCATAGCTTGAAATACTTTCGTCTCCGTTACTTTAATCAATTTTGAATTGGTAAAAATCTCTTCAATCGAATCGGAAATCAGTTGTGAGAAAACTTATTCTGGTCTTTATGTCCCCCCGGTTTACATAGATTGGTTTTCGAAAAACTTCATGGAATCTCTCACCTTCAGTTTTAGAGCTACTAGGAAACGAGTTACAAAACGCTATTTTTGGCCACATATAAATAAACAAATTAATGTTTACTCAGCATACTGCTGCTTTTATGAAAACACGACGTCATGCTAAGTTTTACTAGGTCATCTGCAATCAAAGTCCCTATTTCTAAAGAACGTTTTGAATACGCCCACTTCAACGTTATCAGTCTAGAGATTTCAAGTACATGCTAGCTATTATTGGTTTTGCGTGTTGGCCTCAAGCTTTCCTTTTTAAAAACATTTCGGTTTCTACTGTTGCATCAGCATATTGATAGATCAAGATAGATTCAATCCCAAAATCTTTGCAGAAGTGTCGAACTAATTAGTTTTTCGTAAATTTGTCACTTCAGCTACACTCGTAAGGCTAATGGAATGATTGTAAAACTACAAATACAGCTTAAGGCAACAAGAGACAAAACTAGAAATTGAAGTAGTTAACAACCTCTAGTTCTGCTTGGTTTGCGATCTTCCTGTAAATAAGATCTTGGTGCTGGCCCCACAGAACTTGTTTACAGTCAAAACATCCGATTACTTGCAAGCCTGACATCCTAGGAACACAAGAGATGGGACCAATGTATTCTATTACTTCTGAGAAGGATCTGAAAGTGAAAAACCACAATTTGTTACGTTATCGAAATTCAGAAACTGCATCTTTCATTTGAAAAACTTTGCATGGTTGCTAGCACGAACTCTTCTGTCGCATAAACAAACATTCTCCTTAGTCCTATTGCGAAGGACCGTGTGAAGTAGTGTGCAGAGATTCAAAGGTGTTCCAAGTTGCGATCAATGAGGAAAAACAGTATTTACCTATTAATTGGATTAAACCGGCTTTTATTGAAAGTCACACGTATGCCAAAGTCTTTTACACAAACATAAAAACCAAAAAACGAGTTACGCTTAACTTAACGTGAAGTAAGATACGCCATAAGAGGGATATATTATACAATACTCGTTATGCCATGTTTACATCATTTTTGCTATTGTCAATGTTTACTGACTTTATTGTCAGTTGATGTAAACTTAAAAAAACTGTTGTTGTATTAGACTGTGAATAGTCAATATTATAAATTTTGTTTTCATCCTAAAACACAAACTAAATTAAAACGAGCGACAGAGCACACTTCAAATGGACCACCGTTTTTATTTTTCCGTTTTTAAAACGCTTTAATCAAAAAAATAAAAAAATTAAAAGAAAAAAAAAAAGCTTATATCATAATTTTCCACCAACACACTATCTTCAATAATGCGCGCTCAAGGGTTCAAATTGCACTTTCTAAACATTGCGACGGAGTACACGTAGCAAGTGGCAATTTCGTCCTTCTCTTCTTTTCTATACTCAATCTGTGCCCATAAAGTTCTAAAATATATAGGCCTAAACTTCTTCTGAATCGGTCGTCTTCCTTTTGCAAACTGGTTATATTTTAGAAACGCCTCTCTTTCTTTGACTAGATAATATTCGTAATAGAAAACACGTAAGAACATTATAATCGATCAAGTCAGGTAGGGCATCATTAGATGCCCTACGTCACTTCACGTACCACAATTATTCATTTCATTAATTTTCGCGACAACACACCATGAATTATATATTACTTTTATATAGATGGATACTTTTCATGAAAGCCTTCGTATTGGGCGATGCACAGAACGTCTGACGTGATCCAAGCTTTATTTGCTTGTGAAAGTTTTCATTATATTTCATCCGTTTTCGACGTAAAAAACCTCGTACTAAAGTTTGTCATCATAGAGGAGCTTGCTTATCTTGAGCACGTCTATGTATAGCGGAGTCTAAAAAACGAATCTATGTGACCCGAACTCGCTACGTTTTTCATGTTGTCCGCTTAATCGTTGAAAGTTAAAGGCTTATTATTCATGAGAACGTTTATATGAAATGATATCTAAAAAATAAATCTGCTTCACCTAAATTTTATACTTTTATGTTTCTCATTTAATTGCCCTTGTGAATCAATGTTCATCATAAAATATGAGGAATTTTTCCATTTTTACATTCATACAAAAAGCTTGTTTTTCAGTGGAACCCTCATGTGGAGAGGTTCGAAACATTCACTTCTTTGGTCCAAATTCGACAAGGCTAATTTTGATGCCGAATTTACATGTTTTTACCATAAAAAGATTTCGTTTAGTCGTGTAAAAGGTTACATGGAAGGTAGTTAAAAAATCGTCCCATCTGATTCAAATTTTTCACAACAACTTGGAAAATCCTATTAATCACCGATTTTTTCGCAAAATTTCCCAATTTGCAATATTTTTTCATATAAAGAATTTTGAAAACAAGGCGTGATATAGGAAATCATCAAAGAATTACTCCGCTATTTTTAATAGCGTTCGTCCTTGGCCAAAACACATCATTATATCGATATATCACAAAAAGATTAAACGGATTAGCCCAGATGTTGGACTGTGTACTTTAGTGTGGTTTGATTCAAATTTTATTGCAAAATCGTAAGGAATCTATAATTTCCCCTAGGAACTGCTTAGGTGAGAATGGGCCTTACTATATTAATAGAAGCAAATAAAAGGCATAGGTGTTCACTTATTATATATTTATCGCTTACTACATTGAATGAGTTTGAATTATATATAATTAAGACGTTCAGGTTAGGATCAGCATAGCTTAAATGGTAAGTGAAAAGGATTCGAATGCTATAATTTTTTGCGATGGCCGCGGGGGTTATATCGCACGAATAAATGTAAAGAAAACGGGAAATTTTCATATTCATATTAGATCAGTAAAAGACACCCGTGACAAACGGCAAGTTAACCCTAGGCGTTCGCTTATGAACTTTCGCTTTCCGGGCGGAAAATTTCGGGTCTTTACAAAGCTTGCGGTCATAAGTTCTTATCCTGTCGCAAATAAAATTAAATATTTTTAAAACAATAAATTTACCGCATTTGGACCGCATTTTGACAGTGCCTGTGGAAAGCCCTTTTTGATTCGCTTGGCAGAAATTAGGTTATGATACAAGGTTGCTAAGAGAAAGCAAGAGTCTTCCAAGTGAAAATACTTTGAAAAGCCCTACATCATGAGTAAAAAAACAAGCTATGCGAAATCTTACCGAAAAATGCATTCGTTAATTCGAAATCGTTATCGTCCTCGCTTGAGTAAACATTAATGCAAATATTTTTTTACCATGGTTTATTTTAGTCTCCATTAATGTATTAAAGGCAATGCAAAACTTTTTCATTGAACGAAACGAAACTGTGAAAAAATGTATCTAGTGTAGATATGTAATAATATTCCTAAGTTATAAGTTAGTATATTTTTTGTTAATTTTGTACCCTACGCCACTTGTAGAGAGTTAAGTTTGTGTGAACGTAGCTAACACACAGAAAGACTTTGTAAGTAGATCCATCTTTTATTATACAGTCATTTTCTAAATCGATCTAAGCTTAGTTGTTCCTCTGATGTCTGTTTATCTGTCCATGAATATCGGTGTTGCACCTGCAAGTTAGAATTTTTGATATATTTTGATGAAAGTTGGTGCACTGACATGTTTTGCCCCAAAGACGAACTTCACTGAAAATTATTTTATGTTATTAATTTGAAAAGGCGTCGTATTAAAAAAAAATTGGCGAATTTCAGGATTTGCGAGAAAAAAGCAAATTTCGGAATTCTATATCGGTGCGAACAACCGGATGGACCGGATGGGTCAAATTAACTGGACCAACTTTAAAGCTCATCAATAATAAGCTATTTAGAAAAAGACTTAGCCTCTGTGATGAAAGTTTGCTAAGGTTTTTGCACCGTAGGCCGCGTTTTTGGCATCTTCCAATATGAGAGTTTTCTTGAAAAGCATGTCTTTACATGAAAGAAATGCATACGCGTTGATGTATTACGAGGAATCAATAACTGTATTAGTTGAAGTGGTGTTGGGCATCTAATAGTCGGCCTTGCACGCCTATAATGTTCTTACTTGTTTTACTTTGTGTTTATTGCCACCGTGTTTACCACAACAACGATAAAAACACTGACCAACCTATAAATACAAAGGTAGATACCAACTTACAGCTCAGATGTATCTTAGATTTTGTAAACTCAAGACGTGAGATTATTTCAAAAGACGGTATCCAAATGCAAACCAACGGTTACATGTTTTTAGTAATTTTAGCCTTAAGTGGGTTAAGCTTAACGGCATCGCAACAACAACACGAACAGATTTATGAATTACGTAAGTGCACGAATTAATGAAAATTGAAAGTGCCGTCGACATCGATCAGAAATTCTGTCGCTTTGGTGGATATCGATAAATGAATTAAATTCATAATTATCTTAAAAATGAAACGAAAATGGAATTTTCTCTGTTTTGTGGATATTGCTGTGTAATCTATATTTGAAAAACTTATGCATTTGCATTAATAGCATCTTGTAAAAGCGTTAGTTTGCTTAAAATACAGTAACATGTGTTGTTTAATGATCACAAAAACTATGTGGCTCCAAGGTCGTTATGTTTCGTAATAAAGGCTGCTTATGCATGTTACATAAAAAAACACGGTTTTTGTTTTTTAAATCTTACAATCAATCGTTCCTTTAGATATTAAAAAATTTTTTGGATGAGATGGCTTCGATAACGTAGAGGAATGACAAATTGCAGATGCCACAAATCTTCCATTATAACACACTAAAAATTTTAAAATAAAATATAACGTTTTTTCTAACACCTAAAAAAGTTTTTGACTCAAAGATACTATTTTTACAGCTTTGTTAAAATAAGCCGACTCGTCTGAGCGGCCAAGCAGGCAAACGATCTTCACTAACAACTCAATGGCCGTGGGTTCAAATCTCGAGTGCGTTAGCGTTTTCAATAAAGTCGATAGCGTTAGATGCGAGTGCTGTAAGCCTTTACTCTTAGAATGTAATTCTCCGGCTAAATTAATAATAATAATAAAGTAAATAATATTTGCACACAAACATACATTCAGATTTCTCAAGTTTTTCCGTTCATTGGACGCATGAGTAAACGGATTACGCATAATCAATTATTTAATAAAGTTAAAATTCGAATTCGTTAGTTTAGTCGCTTCATACCTTTGGCACGATCAAATTGTGAACAAAGCTATCTGCAGGATTCGTCTGTTCATGCGAAAAACCTTAAGGGGTATATGTGCTAATTACCGAAAGTGAGTTCAGTTTCATTGCAAGGTGGTTTTGGAGGCTGCTTTTGAGAACAGTCAAAACGTGATTTTAAGCCATACACCCACAAGCATTTGACATGCATAAAGTCTGTAGAAAATTTATGAAATGAATTGTTGCGACTTGTTGCGTTTTAAGTAAGTTGCGTAGTTAGCCAGCTTTATTCAACGCCAGCTAAAAAAAAGAAGTTCGTGAAGTTTCTCACAAAAATTCAAAAATATTTCGAAATATGTATCGTTTTGATCAATAATCATTTGCTGGTTGTCTAACAAAACTTCTATGTCATCACTGTAGAGTTTTTAATATTTTTTTGGGCGAATGGTGGATTCCCCCAAGCGACTTTCTCAGGGCTCTTTTAAAATCAGTTTTACGTCACTAAGATAGTTCTGCGAAAAGAGAAACACACGGCAGGGTCGAAATCCATACTACGCGGTGGCTGCGTCAATACTTCTTGCTACCAAATCAAGTAACTGGTCTGCCAAGGTTTGATATGCTACTCCTTAGCTTTACGTCTTGGCAAACGCCAACGTGGCATCAGTTTGAGTTCATGTGGTATCCAAATCTTAAGCTTCTTTATGGAAACAGCTCAAAACTCGTTTATAGTCAACATTTACTTCCTTAGCGATGTGGGGGAAAAATGTTTTCGTATTAAATGTACTTAAAGTTATTTTAGGCGCTTTTGCGGCCAGATAACCGTTATGTTATCTAGTGATGTTCCATATAAAGAGGAATACAGCTTTCCAACAAGTTAGGGTAGCCAGCGTTGGCGTATTGGCATTCGAGTCCACTGAAGAAGATGGATTCCTCCTCGAAGTTGGAGGCTTACTTGGAGGCTTAATGGAAGTGGAAATGGGCACTATCCTGTAGGTTTAAAGTCATGAGCATAATTAAGTCCACAGCATGTTGCACTGGAACTATCGGCGGAGTAAGTAAACGCGCAGATGCAAGACTTGATGAGGGAGCAAGGACACCACAGACCACATGACGATATAAGTTGAAGTCATCTTGTATTTTCAGAACTAATTCTTCAACTGTCATAAACTCATTATAGAAATCTCTGTGAACACTGCTGGCAGTGTATGAGCAACACACACGCTTACCTAATGCATCGCGAATCTACCAGAACTTTTTTTTTAAAAATTAATTAATCTAGCTTTCTATTCACTCGGGCGCTTTTATACGCTATAATATACTTTAAAAGCAAAGCTACCAAGCCAGATGTTTGCAGACATCCAAAAATAAGTACACCATTATTTATTGTTATTTAATAGAGAGCTTATATAAAGATGAACACAAGCCAGTAGTTAAGATCACGGGTTCCCTGTAATTAGTTTGTTGGATGTAATTTCGATGTCGACGCGCTACCCATTGGAGTAAATATATTGGCTTTAATCTTTTCAGCGATGAATTGCTTTCAATTACATAAGCGGACCGAAAAAAATAGGTTGGTTTGGTTCCTATCAATTACTATTGCTGATATTGACGTAATGCATGAGTAGTTGTCGTTCTCGCAGATGTAATGCAATTGTTTTTCACAGTTACTGTTGTCGTTATATTTTTGCCCTTATTATTGATTTAAACCAGTATTTAGAAAAATTCCGGATTGTTCCACTATTTGTTAATGGTAGCAATAAGTTTTTAGACGTTGCTTAGATGACTACAGAGATCGCTAGCGCGTCAACGTTTGCACTCATATGTTAAATGTTAATTTAAGAAAATTCAATGGTCGTCAGACACAATCAATTATGCCCGGGATCATCAGATTACTTCCGACTCGTTTAATTTCGCAAATTTAATCAAAAGTTAAGCTAATTAATTTGCAATTTTCACAATAGCGATCGCAAAACATCGCTATCGCGATTTTTGTTCGCACAGAGTTGCCAAACGAGTAATAAATTACTTCGATACATCTTTACGTTAATTTCTTTTTGGTATTATTATAGCTGAAGAGCTCAAGAATTTTGCATGTCACGAGGACGATCCCGCTGTTAACGAATGTATACGTAAAGGCCTACAATTTGGCATTGACTCTTTGAAAACTGGTATTCCCGGCGTCAGAATAGCTGCTATGGATCCTTTTCACATTGATAAAGCTACTTACCAATTTGCCAATAATTTTGTTAGAGGCAAAATCAGTTTGCGGAACATCAGCGTCAAAGGTTTAAGCACCATAAAATTGAAAAATGTTGACTACAGTAGAAGAGACAATCAAGCCCATTTCGTTGTACACGTTGATATGCCACGAATAATCGCCGAAGGGAACCATAGGGCTGATGTTCTAATAAATAACGCAAAAATCTCCTCAAAAGGCTCTTTTACCATAATATTAAGTAAGTGAACGATTTATTTAAAACACTTAAGCTATAGAGCTACTGCTTCGAACAATCCGTTTTTGCATTAACAGCAAGAATACCGTTTGGAATTCGTAAACGGTTTTAGCAAATATTCAAATAGAACGACTTAATACTTTTCATATAGCCTGTCCCCAGAATCCCTTTTAAATCGTTCTTATCCTGTTGGTCCGTCAATGACTGCCACGTAACCTTTTGTTCAAGCTACAGGTCGTAATTTCTGATATATTTTGATGAAATCTAATATACAGACGAACGCTATGGAAAATGGTTTGGATCGGTTTACCTTTTCGACCACTTTTCGAACATATTGAAAAAACTGACAATTTTCAAAATTCCTCGACAAAACTCTCTGGATAGTCTATCTATTTGCGTATTCTAAATTGGTGTGCAAAACTTGGTTCGGCAGGGGCAATTTTTAAAACCCTCTTTCATATAATCGTTCCTACGAAAACTGAGTCTTTATTTAGTAAAAAGGGATAATTTTTAATATTTCACTGTGAAAATTAGTTCACATTAGTAAATTGACATAGAAATCAATCTTACTAAGTTTGTATTATGGCAGGTCTATGTTTTGGATTTGGCTTTCATGAAAAATATACCCTTGCTTGACAATAACGTGTGACTTTTGGTGTTATTATCAAAACGAGCGAATAACTGTATTAGACCAAGTGGCATAGGGTATCTAATAGTCGGCCTTGGCCGACTGTGATGTTCTTACTTGTTTCGACGTTATTTATTTTTTTAAGCCCTTTTTTTCTATGTTCTGTTGATCGTTTGCTCCTTTTTTAAGCTAATCCGATCAGTTAACTTTCTGCCTACGTTTCACACATTTGAGAATACTGACAGGAGATAGGCAAACAAATATGCCTAAATCAAAAGTATATTTCATAAGCAATGTTTGAAGTGAGTTCCTCAGCTTAACGAAGTGAATGGCCCAAGTGTTGGATATAAAGCCGCAAAGTAAATCGATTTTTGTGCATTTGTTCTATAGCTAACCTTGTTGTTAAAATAATAATGGATAGCGAACTCTATGAGCGCAATGGTCACGAATATGCCCGAGTATTGAAACTAAATTTTGAGCCCAATGTAGGAGATATGAAACTAAAAGCTGATGGTCTATTGCCCGAGCCAATCCTAAGTAATTTAGTTAACTTTCTGAAAAAACTGAAAGAGTATAATAATTTTATATCACTTTCTTATTTAGATAATGCTATTGTGGATTTCATTAACCAAAATTGGCGTCAATTTTATAAAATATTAATTGCAGAGTCTCGACCTACGTGGGAGCCGGCAGTGGTAAAACTTGTAAATGATTACAGCTCTTATATTCCTCATGATATATTAGTACTTAAGAAATCGTAGAGGATAGTCGAGTTAGTTAAGTTTTCAAAGATTTTTACAAATACTTCATGTAAGGCAATAAAATCGAATTTTTTAAATATTTTCTGTTTCACTGATTTATTTTAATATAATAATTTTGCAGCTCAAAAAAATAAAAAACAAAATAATATGTCATTCAACTTTTACAAGCGTTCAAAGTTTTTTTAATCAATTTAACAAAGGAACCGATAGTTTATAATATTATTTCCATAAAACGGGCGATCTAAAGGAGCAACATTAGAGATCGATCTTCAAGACTGAATGTCAGACGTAGCGAGTAAACTACCAACCTTAACACAGAACACCAATAAAGCTAAGAATTCCAGTTATGGTGATCACTAATACTACTAAGATTCCTAACGTAGACTACTTCAGCCACAAAAAAAACGGAACTATTCAAAGTTTTGAAATTTCGGAGCCGGTTTAGTAAATATAATAGGTAGAAACACTACAGTAATAGATAAAAACATCATAGTAATTTAATGCCAAGAATTTATAAAATAAGGTGTTATAAGGAAAGTGGTCGAAACAAGCTCCTATCTGAACTCTTTTCAATGGCGTTCTTTTTATTGAGCCAAGATATTTCAACCCACCGAATTTCAGTGAACCAAATTTCATCAAAATATCTCAAAAAATGCGACCTATAGGTTAAACATACGAAAACAAGCCGGCCAGACGGTCGGACAAGTTTATTTATTTATTTTATTCCACTTATACTAGAAACTCAACTAAACAAATAACAGTCGAGTTCAATAGGCTCTTAATGCAAAACTAATATTAATTAACAATAAAGTTGAGTATAAGCATAATAAAACAAATAAGAAGAAAAAAAAAGAAAAAGAAAAAAGAAAAAAAGCATGTACATTATCAGCATAGGAGCACACTTACAACCGGTACAGGACCAAATTGCAAATGAACCCCTAAGCCATCGCAAACATGCATAAGCCTGGCAACCGATAATAAATTGACAATAATTCACTTTCGAAACGTAACGACTTTTTAAGGATAAAAGCAAGTTTAAATACGACATAGGTAAATCGCGCGAATTAAGCAATGTTGTCGATCAAAATCATTTTCTGAATCGATCTACATAATAAAAAGTTGGTCTATTTCTTTCTAGGTGTTGCATACATTCGCTTAAACTTAATATAAATTTGTATCAAAAGTGTCATGCGATATAAGAATGTATAGATTGATATATAGGAAATTATTATGACTGCTATTTTCCAAAATCGGCGGCATTAGGCGTTCTTGCTCTTAAATAATAAATGCAGCCACTAGTGAAAAGGTAGAATGCTAGAATGGTTGCATGTGACATATTCCAATCAATGAAGGAAAGATTTTCGGAAAACATTTTATTGTTTCACTTCAAAAGTGGCGCAATTTTTGCTATCCGTTCCGTAATAATAGTTTTATAAGAAACCCAGCCATCCAGCCACCGGGCACTTAGAAGATAGCACGCAATTCTCTTCAGATATACAATCTATAAGCGAAGTATCAAATACAATAGCCAAGGTAGATGTAAGTAAAAGCTTCGCAAAGCTACAGTACAGCTTGGTCAGATTTACGCAGTAAAAGATTACTAAAGCTTTCGAGAATATCCTGAATTTTTGCTATGAAATGTGGCAAGAGAAATCGATTCCATTCGCATCAAAATCACAAACAGATTTTGGAATTAAAGATTACTAAAGCGTTCGACAAACAAAAAAAACAACTTCCAATTTCAAGAATCAATCCTCATATAATATATAACATTTCCTAAACGTTTCCTATGGAATGTTCCAAGAAGAGTGGATTCCATCCGCCCGAAAATCATGAACTTTTTTGCTCTTTAATGTAGGGTGCTCTTTCTAAAAGGTTGTTTGTTTTTTTTTTAGTAAATTTGAATAAAGTTTATTCTAATATTGTACTTTTTAGCTCACGGACCATGTCACAAGTGCGTAGATAATAATTGTTTGATTCCACTCACTCCGCTGACAATGGTTAGTCTCAGAAGTCCTAAAATACGTTTACATGTCAATTGAACGAACGTCGAATGGTATTGTATTTTTTTAATACAATAATGTCTTACTTCCACTGTAGGATAAGGCAAGTGCACCATTATGCAATTTTTAACTTTTTCTAGGGTTTCTAACATCTTTGTTTTATCGCAAGATTGCTATTGAAGCGTTTTGTTGTCACTGTTGCCCCAGAATAGCAAATTTGATATAAAGTCATGAAGGTGCGATAGTTGATAGGTAACAACTTCCCCCAGAATACTGCGGTTTATTTTACATTTTGATTACTAAGCAGGTGCTTGGATTGATTGTGTGCCTAGCATATATATCCATGTGGCATTTGATTACAATATTTAATATATTTAGCATTTTCACAATAAGAAAAAATAATTGTATGGCGTATACATTAAACTCAGAGCATTACTGATCACATTATGTTTGTAATGGTTACGACCTCTAAAATTTAGGACAATATTCTGCATCTATTCACTAAGAATTGTGTATTCTATGCATTATGTTCAAGTTAAAGTTTGTACATTGAACTCTGCATTGCATTGAAAATCATTGATATTGACACTGTATTGTGCGCAACACGTTTGGTTTGCACATAAGTTTGTTGAAAAAAAAAAAAAAAAGAAAAACAGCAACCTTTTAAATTATATAGAATCTGTTGAAATGTAAACCGGCTTCGATTAAATTATAGTTGAAAATGCTTTACCTCATTTTAAAGACCTCAACACAATAGTAATAAATTTGCAGTGTTACGGATAACGCCTTTCGGAACGGTTGCTTACTTAGAACATAATTTTCATAAGCAGAATGAATTATTTAGTACATGTTTTTATATCAATTTTTAGTTTGATTTTGCTTACACTGCCAGTTTTAAGTTGGCCAGATCCAGATAATTCTTTAACTAGTGCTGCAACGGAAGACTTGGATGGGAAAATCTCTAACTCATCGTTGTATGTGACTATTGATAGGAAAATCAATGCTACTGATAATCAACATTCTTCAAAACTATACTTATCAGGTAATGATTCGATTATGATATTTAGGGGTGGCATCTTAGACAACACTCACGCTATTCAGCAGCAATGCTATTATTCAATACAATATTCTAGTTAGGTATAATTATGTCTCTTTGTCTGTCTTCCCACGTAAGTGCCTATCTTTAAAAACATAGCTCACGACAGCTTTCAGCAAAACCTTGGTTGAATGTCTTTTATTATTAACCTTACAAACGGCTAGACAAAATTGGCCAAAACATCGTATAAAACTGTACATGTCTTCTTTAAAATTTTTTTAAAAAATCTTTAAATTTTATACACCTTTCGCATTTTTACACGATTCGTACATGCTTGCAAACTTCGGCTCTTTTCCCTTGACACTTTTTTATGTATATGTGATAGACGCATAAATATTAATTTTTGAAAATCTTTGCAGCTAACGATTTACCCTATTGCCGTCAAAATCAAAATAAATTTAATGAATGTCTTAAGGAAATTCTGGAGCTCACGTTCGATCGTTTTAAATATGGCAACACGGGCAAGCACTTTCCTAGCTTAGAACCCTTTTCTTTAAATGAAACTACCTACCAATATAACGGTCGTCCTTTATCCGGTCATTTAGCGATAAAGAAGGCTTTTATGCATGGCCTCTCCAAAATTCAATATTCTCAAGTCGACCTGCGTAAACAAAATGATATAATTAAAATGCGAGCTTTATCACATCTACCTAAGTTAAAATTTACGGGTTCTTATAATGGAAATTTACGATTTAATAATATGCATATTCGCCCTAAAGGGGATTTCAATGTCACAATTACGAAGATGGAAATAGAACAAAAGGCAGATGGTATTATCTATAGTCAAGATGGTCATAAATTTTTGAAATTTATTTATTTGCAAGCGGAACCGAAAATAGGTGAAATAAAAGTGAACGCCTCCGGAATATTTACTGACAATGTTTTAAGTAGGTATTCAATAACAAACTTGGTAAAAACGAAGAACTAAACCGTATTGTTTTTATTATTTACAGACAATATAGTTTTGAATGTCGTTAATCAATATTGGCGGGAAATATATCGCGTTCTTTTACCACAAATACGGGATTATTGGTCGTCTCTATTGTTACATTTGACAAACGTTGCTTTGAGTATATCTCCTTTTGATGTCAAAGATTAAGTTCCATGGCCGGTATTTAACATTTGGTTTTACTTTTTTAAAGTTGTTGGCCTTTCTTTTTTTTTTTTTTTTTGTAAATAGAAAACGAGAATTAATAAATAAGCATATTTGAAAAAGATCATAAGTACTTAAGAGCTTATTGCCTTGATGGAATAAAGGAGAGAAACTTGCTTTTTATTTTTTTATTTTTTTACAAACACACGTAGTTGCGGCAAGAAGTAGGTTAACTTGAGGGGAGGCAAACGATTAAATATAAAGGTGCGAAAACCCTTTGCAACCTTGTTAACAGCTGGATCACATTTTGATCTCAACAAAATGTTGCTCAAATTTGGTAAAAATTGCCACCATCACTGAGCATGACTTATTTGTTTTTCACTTTTTTGCTTTGCCTCTCCAAATTTCTTAATTTGTCTTACATAAGTATTTTAAATTAATTTCTCGCTAATAAGTGATTTTTCTTTTATCTCGCAACGGCAACGCATTCATCTATGTTCTTGTGAGTGTAAGTAGTTCCTAGCTTTAAAGAGTCCATAAAGGTATTGTACTGTAGTTGTCATCACAGGAATTCTTTAATATGGTGGATAAGCAAACGATCGAAGTTGTCTTCAAAAATGCGATTTATTTATTTTATGCTTAGTTTTAGGACGCACACATTATCAATTTTGTATTCAGCTTCTTAGCTCGTTATATTGTATTGAGTTTTCTCACGTTACGGGAGCATCATCTAGCCGTCACTATATTTAAAATTGCTGCTTCTCTTCTTCATATTATTGCAGGATTTGCGATTGTACGGTCAAAGATTCACGTAAAATTAAAATTTTGCATTTCAGAAACAACTTCTCGTATCATTCGGCATCACTGAAAATTTTACAGAAAGCCAACAACGAGGTATGACAAAACACACGACTATAACAAAAACATGCAGCAATGGATGTTACAAACGGTTCAACAGGCAATTCTTGCGAGTTAATTTCTCTCTTCGTGCTTGAAAGCAAGAGATTCAACGCCATAATGCAAAAAGCCATTTTTGGGCAAAACTTTTTAGCGGACAGTTCAACCGACCATTTTTTGTCAGTTGCCGCATTCGCTACGCTTTCGCTGCCATAAATTATTCTAAATTAATAAAGCAGTAAATAAGAATCAAATTTACATTTGTCTGAAATTTCAATAAAGTGACATAAACCTTATATGTTAGTTGCATAATGATTCAATGTAAAGGCAAATAACGATTATCGATCTATCGCAACTTCAATACAGGGCTTAGAAAACACAAAGTGTAATTATATTTAGCGTTCTACATACGTAGGAATTTATTAAGTGAAATGTAAAGACGATTGCTTTGAATTGTTTCTAATATTATATTAGATGCGCAAATATCGTACAAGATGCGTTCAATTTTCTCCAAATTTCAGGTAGAGATAATTTAGGTATAAGCGTTAGTTGTCTGCAAGTTGTTGTTTAACATATATTAAAATATAAACAGATGAATGAAATTCATAACACCGCATTTTTTCTTTTTTTAAATCAGAGAACAACTGGGGAGATTTTGGTTTTGATGAAAATTTGCATATCTCCGTCCGTCTTCGACAAAAGACAACCTCTCACGCTTGGGGCTTATTATCTGAACCTGTCATATTTAGCAAATCAGCAACTCCGCCAATTTGAAGGTGTGCGAAAATGGGACGATGAGTATTTCGCCTCGAAACCACGAAGGTATACATGCATTTACGCGTATGCGTGCATATACATATGCACGTATGTGTTACGTAAATATTATATATAAAATAATGTGATATCTACGATAAGTTATTCGCGTTTCGAATTTGAAGAAAAGTTGAAATTCTATTAAAAGGATTCTCTTATTCTTTTCTTACATTCCTGTTTTGTGTTCAAGAGAAATCCCTTCTGTGTTCTAACTAAGATTATCTGGTAAATTCAGAAGTTCCACTCAGCACAACGTCAAATTTTCCGTATTTCCTTATTTACTGTTCGCAATTTGTGCGAACAGTTAGCTTTGAGTTTTGCAATATTTATCTATAACTTTTGACCACATTCCGTATGTGTATGCAATTGCCCAAAAAATATAGTATAATGAATAATATATTTTAATAAATGTAAGGTGTAATAATCATATACATAGATGAGTCACACAACCAGGATTTGCTTCCATGTAGACAAAAATTTGTTGAGTCGCTCTTTATTTATAATCTTTCTAAAAATATCTCGGGAGAGTTTTGCGTTTGGATATTAAAAGTTTATGTCACTATTTTTTCGCAAAATTTCTCGCTAGTATGCCCTGCACAAAATTTTTTCGCAAAGACGATCTTCACGAAATTTTTTTTGCGCATTACGCTCTTTGCAAAATTTCTCGCCAGTATGTTTTTCACAAAATTTTCTCGCAAGTATGCCATTCTTTTATTGTATAATAAGCTTTTCGTCGTTTTCATCGTTTAAGTGGCATGCGAGTATATTTTAAAGTTAATCAAAGTAATAGTATAGCAATAGTGTTAAGCATGAGATAAAAGCTTAACGCAAGCAAGCTTTCTTGGGAGAGAGCTAATTGGCTAACGAAAAATCCAGTTAACCAAATAGCCGAAAATGCTCAAAAGGCAAAATCTATGAAACAGATGATGACTTTTTCCATATTTTAAGACCAAAAAACACTACAACGGTAAAAAACTTTGATTTTTTTTGGTTAGTCGCAGTAGTCACCGTACAAAAACCTATAAATAAACGTTGCAAGCAAACATTACATTACAAGATTTGGCTTATGAACGAAATTATTAAACGGGAAATAAAACTTGAATAAGAAAAAAATTAACGAAAATTGTTTAAAATTTAGTAAATATGTAATAAGAGACATGTAACAAAATTAAAAAGTAAATAATATTTTTTTTGAGATTTATATGATAATCAAAGAAGTGTAACCAAAGTGTTTTCCAAATAAATTTAAACCCAACAACGTTATTTCCTTTTAAATACAAAAAGAAAAAAAAAGAAGAAAACTGGAATATTGTATCGTTGTGTATACAAAAAAAGTTTATCAGGTAAAAAATGCAATTACTTATGTTGCAATTGTTGGCAATTGCTATAAAAATCGGAAGTTCAACGACAGCTATCTCAACTGCAATCAACAGTCAAGAATCTACGACTATCGATGATTTGTTGGCTTTTCCTGATCAAAGTATAAAGTTTAAAGATGATCCTCAAGTGGACTACAGTGCAAGTGAGTCGATGATATAAAAATTTAAGAAAAAATTAAAAATTGTTATAAAATTTTACATAATCGCCCTGGAAAATTCATTTTATAACAAAATACTGGAAAATGAGCTGACTTGTAGTTAAAAAAACTGTGCTTAATAAAGCTTAAGCAGGTTTTCATTTAAAAAAATTTTTTTTGTTTAATTTTCCAATAAATTTTTGTGGAATTTTGCTTGTGAGGAAATAAGTAAGAAATCTTTTAATGGAAAACACGATTTCCTTTTTTTTTTGTTGTTGACATTTAAGAATAATAAAAAATATGAGCTTGCTTAAGCTTTTTTTACCAAGGCCTGTGAACCGAGCGAAAGATCAATAAGTAAAAGTAACTGAAAAGAGACCATGTTCACGAAACGTAGAGAGATAGAATCCGCAGTGCAAAGTAATGTCTAAGTGGCACGAATATGGGGGAGGTGTGGAAAGTAATTCCATTAGACGATTACGGCCTTTAATATAGGGCATTAAACATTACTTTGATTTTTTTTTTCCTAAAATAGATTTTCTATTTCTACCTATGGAATTCAAAAACGGAGATATTTTTTATAATTGCCTTGAGCTTTTTCGACAAACTTTACGGTTATCCACGTCCTTGTTAAGCGGTTGTGGTCATAAAACGCCAAAAAAAAAATATTGAAAGGCACGAAAGCAATTATCTTCTCGTTAAAGGTAAAGATTTGGACCATGTTAAAAATGAAAATGTTAATTGCCATCCAAATTCTCTATAATTTACGAAATGAAATGAGGAGGAGGAGGTAAATTAACAATGCGGTAGTAAGCACAGTACAAGACCCGGATAAAGTTACCAGATAAAGGCTTGCCATAAATTTGATATAATTATATGTTTTATGCACTGAAAGGTTAAAAGTATACCCTCGCGAAGAATATAGTTACGGACAAGCTGAAATGAAATAAAAATGTTTATTGAAAACTTTTGATTTATGGCAAATATGAGTTTAAATATTTGGTTAAAAATGTACATAGGAATGTAACTAAAAGGTAAGATCAATCGCCATATTGATAAGCGTGCAACTAACAAAGAGCTGATGGAGCTTCACTTATTACATTTATGTTAGACGAAGGTTTGCTCTAGGATGAGTATAATCTTTTTAAACTGATTATATCGCTTCATGCATTGTCATTAAACGGAATGACAAATTTTTAATATTGGTAACAAAAAATGTAACGATTTTCTTGAACGTTTCCATATCAATAATATTAATTTATAAAGTTTTTTGTTTAAGTCTTTCGATTTGCAAAAGCTGAGTAAAGGCGATTAAGAGGTTAATCTTTATCATCAATAAAAGCGATTAAAAGAGTAATCAGATTTTTTATTATCCAAATACACATAAAACAACATTATTAAGAAGCTCAGTGAAATCGAAAAAGAATATTTAGATAATTTTTAGAGACATATACATATATATATTATGCAATAATTTATTACTTAAAGGAAGTCTTTAATTGTTCATTAAGTGTATACACGGTTATACCTTTTTTGTTATCACATCTTACGTTATGTTAACAGCAAACAACACCAACACATAAACTATAAGATTGTTAAAAACAAAAATATTAATACAGTAAACCATAAACAATCGACGAATGTGGGTCAAGAGCAAGAAAGAAATACATGAAAAAAATTTGTATGAAACGAGTGTTTACCTGCGATGAGTTTGAAGCGAATTTCAGTTACTGAATTCAATAGAAAAAAAAATAGCATATGCTTTTCAGAAGCGTGCTGCAATGGCGCTTACAATATATAATTCATAACAGAGTCAGCTAAATTTTGATGGCTTCGTTGCTTTATCGCAAATTCGCTTATCAAAAATGAGTAATGTTGAGGTTTATTTTTTTTTTGCGCTACATATACCGAAAACTTGTTTTTCAGATTGACTCCTCTTCGTAAAGCGAAATTATTCAATCGTTTATTTATTTATTGGAATCGGAAAAGTTACTTCTTAACACACTCCGTATGTTATTTATGATTGCAGATTTGCCCTCAATCAATTTCGCTTATTATTAAGAACGAACATTTTGTATCAGTGAAATAATTTTCATAACAGCTGCGATCAGTATGACATAGATTTTGTCGGTGCACTTAAGTATTTGTAGACAATATTGTAAATTGAGGAACTAACCAGGCAATCAACTGTAACGCGTTAGAGTTAATTTACGCAGTATGCCTGAGTCATGCAATTAAGCAAAGCATCGAGTGGGAAAACGAAATCATACGAATTGAAAATAGAATTTAAAGCGCATTCAACGTAAACATTATGATGGTTTTTGAAAATTATTGACCGTTGTAATGGTTTTTCATATTAGATTAGAAAACTTTTTTCATTTTTATCTACAACTGTATGGCCTCTAATGCACACCAAAACCAAAAACAAAAAATTGAGTTCTAATGTGATTGCTTGTAAGGTGAAAAATAATTTGATAAAACGTTCCTCCCCGCGGATCGCATAGCTTTGGTTACTGTTGCACATAAAATAACTAAATTAATATACCTCTTGTTGATTGCAGTGAATTCATTGCATTTTTAAATCAAACGTTATGTCAGTAATAAGTTTATTGTAGCAATAATTTGTTAGTCCATTCGAAAAAATTATCGGTATATAAATCGTTTAAATATTCAATGCGTATGCGCGAACGATGTGTACAAAGTTTATGTGCTGCCACCACTCTATTTTTATATGTAAAATGAGGTAATTAAATCTGAGTTGATTAACATTTAAACTAAGAGACGAACGATAAATTAGATTTTAGTTGAATGCACTTCTTCTATATCTACCTACAGTTTATTTGCTTTTATACATGTCTTCTAAGCCGACTAATCAACTTTCTATTCATTTTGTATTACTTTAACCTATGAGTGAGCTGAAACTATTAATAGAGTTGTGCTCTAGTCGAACATGATCAGTTTGCATGCAGAAGCTCTTGCTTAAAATCAATAATATTGTGCCACACATAAATGTGTTTATAACCACAACATCTTTAAAGGCTTAACAAGCCTGCACGAAGAAGCTTAAAACCTATAATAACCGCGTAAGCGAATGTTCATTTACTTTTTGACACCTGCGTGTTTGTTATTCTTACTTATTGTGTGTAAAGTACTGCAAAGCCAATAATTCATAATTAATATAGGTTAACACTAGATTGTTGACACTTGATTATGCAGTAAAAAGGAAAAAATGTATTCAGAACATACAGGCTTGCTATAAACCTGATGCAGGCATAACAATCGATGAGCATTTGCCCTCCAGACGACAACAATTTGTTAACAAACCTGGCTTCAAAACGTTGGAACGGTCAAGTTCAAGTGTTATGCAAAAGAAATAGAAGTAAGACGCTCGTTGCTAAATGTAATAAAAAAATCCCCGCATTTCGGCCAATGCAACAGCATGTACCTAACAGCTAGGCGGAATGATCATAAAAATGATCTTGTCTATTGACAGTGTAGGTTATAAGTTCAAGTCATTTTTGAAGAACAAGAAATTAAAATATTGTTACATTTGTTGCTTACGTTTTCAAATTTCTGCGGATTTTTTATTGCTACGTGATACTGCTTTTGCTCGGAAATCCGTCGTCGCTGTCAAATACTTGATCGCAATCAAATTTTCATATGAAATCCAAATAATAATGATAATAATACTCTCTCTCTCTGTCTTCTTTTTTTTTCAGACAAATTCCAAATAATACCATGTTCCCTAAGTGATGCCGGCAAAAACGAGTGTATTCGTGGATTATTCAATCAGGTGCTGCCTAAGCTGAAGGTATTTAAAAACAAGTATATTCGCCTTAAAACGAATTTGGGATTCCCGCCGCCTCAAAATATTCTGCAATAGTTATTTAGCATTTCGCTAATTAATGATCTGTTAATAGGTTTACTGAAATTTCGTCATTAGTTATATATGGTACGTTACTGACTAACTTATTTTAAAATATTTTAATGAAAACAAGTAAATAACTACTAGGACAAGCTCGAATGTGGTATATGTTTTACTCTTTTGCCTAAAACAATTCTTCATTCGATTTCGTGACAAAATGCCAAAGACTATATATCTCTTTTCATCGGAAACTTTAAATATGAAGCTCGTCAAAATCATGAACTGACCATTCTTTAAATTGGCAAAATAAATTATCTTTTCAAAGATATTGTTATGAAATTCGCTTTAACTAAGATACAGTCCGTATCACTGGATCGTGGATATTTTGATCAAGAGAAATACACTTCATAGTCCTTTTATTTTACTAATTTGTCTTTCACAACAGTAGGAGTATTTATTTACAATTATATTTCTTACATGTAGGATTATTCACAATTTATTTTGGCCGTACTCTCAGCTCAAATGTTCTTGCCCGACTAACTCTCTATTCTATTTATTTACACTTTTACAAGCATGTTACTATACCTAAATTTATGGTTTTATTTCTAATCCCAGCCTCCTTTTCCTATATTCGTTTTCATCGGCCTGCAGCTGCATGACGCGCTTGCGAATGCTCATTTGGTTTTTCCTTCTTTAGGGAATTTATTATTAGGGAAAATTATTTAGCTGACATTAACTGGATTTGGGATTTTCGTAACAATATTATTATTCTTTGATTAAATTCATCACAAAGCGCTAAAAGTTAAAATTTGCTGCTATATAAAGGCTTACTTTTTATAAGAACACTTATATGGGATAGAATTCAATAACTACGCATTGGTTGTCGAAATCCGGTACAGTTAATTTCCACTTCAAATTATTTTCACTGACCAAAATTATGAAAAATTGTTTCTTTTGGCATAAGGCAAGGGCTCATTCGGTCTAAATATTTCATGTCAATTAAGAACTTACTATACAATTTTTTTGTTAAGAAATTCCGAAAATTGCGATTTTTTTTTCATATAACGGCTTCTGTGCGAAGGTTGATCGTAAAAATGGTTCGACTCAATCCATTTTCCATAGTTATATGTCAGTATCGCACATGTTGTCAAAATAGCTCAAGAAGTGCGAAGAAATGACACCTGTGTGGAAAACGAAAATACAAGGACAGGCGGGAAGATACGCTTAAATTGACTTAGAAAGCGATTCTGAACGGAATTGCGTACTAAAGAGAGAGTCTGTCTAACTTATATCTAATATAGCTTTATACACTATATTATCATAGGTGCTATAGGGTATAAATATATCCAGTTTTGTGTAATAAGTCACAACAAGCATATACAGGCTGTGCACAGCAACTAAGCAAAGTTGTTTAGTGTTTGCCACAGGTGCTTGACGTCGCAAAATAAATAATAAACGTAATTGCTTTTAATGTAGATAATTGGTAATGTTTAAGTGAAAGCCCTTACATTACTTTTAGTTACTAATTAACCATTAAAAATATGCAGAATTGTACAAATAAGACTTAATGTGTAGGGGGTTTTCAGGATAGCATCTTAGAATATTGTAATAGTTGTTTATAAAGGCTAAGGCTTCTTGTGTAATAGTCGTTGAAGTGTGCTAGTTGAATTCTACCAATGCATTTGTGAATTAATGATATCGAAGTCGAAGGAGATCGACTGCATGGAAGGTGTCCAAATAAATCTTAGAGTAACTCTGCCACACTGCATTTGGAGGAGATTCTTTATGAACACCAATGTATGGCTATATCAGTATTGTTCAGTATCTCGCTAAGGCTTCAGTGCGCCAAGATATCGAAATTTGTCGAAGGCAAATTTTGCAAGTAAGTAATCAAAAATGCGGGCTTTACCTCGCATAAAAGATCACCCGTATAACAATGTTTTCATAATAAGACTATATACTTAATAATCCTTTGCACACGAACGTTACTGTTTTTGATAATACTGTACGTTAAATTGTGCCCGCGTTGTAAATATTTTGCTTGGTGTGGGATTACTCTGGTATACGTCAGATGGGGGACACTTGGATCATTCAGTCTGAGCACTATAGCGTTTCTGGCAATCGTAGCAAAATTTTTTAAGATTTTTGATTTTTGTTAAGTGAAAACACTGATAAGCAAAATCGAAACAAACGTTTTTTGATACTCTGTTAATTTTTTATTAAAACTACTGTCGGGTGGCTAAATACCTACACTAAAGAATGGTTCGGGTGCAAAGGGATAAAGAAGGACAACGAATATAATAAGGAGAAATAATAATACAAGGAGAAATAATCTGGGTTTGATGTGTCCAATTGTAACCTCTATATTAATAATGTAATTACGTACATAAAATATCTTTGTAATTTAACTTATAACGCTTGCGATAATTTCAGATATTCGTAAGGTTATTAAAGGCACAATGTAAGCCATGAATATTCTCCACTTTTAAATTCGAAAAGACAACTTTTCTAAAGCTCGGAGACTGGAATGAGGTGGTATAATTTTGAATTAAAACCGGTTCGAAATCCCACAGTCGAGTAGGGCCAACTACAGCAACCCAAAGTAGAAAATATTTAATAGCATATTTTAAGAGTTTAACTTTATAACTGAATATATTATTATATATAAACGCTCCGATGAAAAGTAAGACAAAAAGGTTGCAAAAAGGTTGGCTTTTTGATGTATTGCATATTGAAAAGTGTTTCATTATATAATAATTTGATATAAAAATTAAACTCAACAACGATAAGGTTTTACGTGGCAATAAAATCGAAGTTTCAGTATTTGGTGAGGCAAATAAGTGAGGACTAATTAGATGAGAAAATTTATTTATTAAAATCAATTTGCGTTTTAGGATCTCTCCCACATATGTGCACCCAGAGCAAGCATATGTTTACATGGAAGCAAGATACAATTTTTGGTATTTCATCACACAAGCAAATGAAAAATGGCGTTAGACATAATGATTTAGGGTGATATAACGGTTAGCGCTACTCTTTTAAAATGTTTTTAAGCAAAAAATGAGTAGGATACGGCCCGCCATAAACCATTTTGCCGCTATACCATTTTTCTTAATATAGCTACTGGTATAGCGAATTTTCAAAACAACGTCTTATAATTGTGATCGAAAAATTGGTCCAGTCGTGTTTGGCCAAAACACGGAGGTATACCAAATTTGAATAAAATATCTCCAAAAATGTGCCATGCAGATGGGAGACAAGTGAAAATGATGGGCAAGCGCACTAACAAGCTTAAATTCAAGATAAGAAAGTGATTGTGGATCGAGTACTTCTGGTTGTTGCATACATGCGCGTAATTGAACCATAAATGGTATAAGATATAGAAACACGAGTTTTTTTTACAAGAACGTGTACGGACGATGTAGAAGAGGTGGTCCCATCCTATCCAGTTTTTTCGCATTTGAACCAATTTTATTAATCATGTATCAAGTTAACTCGCTTAGAAGGTTTGTACAGCTATTAGCTGAATGAAATGCGTATGTACTCTCAATGGTGCATAAAATTTGGAAAAAATTTAATGAGTTTTTTACAATAATCGACTTTATTACGCTTATAGCAGCATTTGATATTACTTTTCGTTTCCAGGTGGGACTTTCCGATTATGGTATGCCTTCGATTGACCCGTATTTTTACAATCGTGGCATTTTTCGTTACTCAAGTGACGGCATACAAGGTGGTTTACTGATTAAGAATGTTAATATCCTTGGAATTTCAAATATATTCGTGAAAACATTTACGGGAAATTTCACCAACGATGCGCTGAGAGTGAAATTGGGTTTGGAAGTGAAACAATTAAGAGCGAATGGCGAATTTAAAGCAGATGTGAAATTTGGCGGTTTAAGACTAGTGCCGAAAGGCCCTTTTAATATCACTTTGAGTACATTATTTTCACACGTTATTTATTTTTTGAGTTTTCCTACCCTCCAGCATTTTAGATAACGTTCGAGCTACAATTTTAACGGATGGCAACTTAATTAATAAAGATTCTGGCTTAAGAGTACAACTCCGGCGATTGAATGCCAACGTTGCGGTTGGTAATGCGAGAATTAATGCTAACGGTATCTTCTCAGATAATAATTTAAGTAAGCCTCACTTTTTTCGCTATGTTGTTATTAAATTTACGTTTATGTTCTTTGTTATAACTTTTTTTTTTTGGTGCAGATAATATGATTTTAAATTTAGTTAACGAAAACCTGTTGGAAATAATACGCATTGGTATACCGGCTACACGTGAACAATGGGCTCCCATTTTGGTGGAACATATCAATAAGTTCTTCTCTCAGGTTCCTTCAGAGAAGTTTCTGGTGCAGTAAAACATTCAAGCTTACAAATATATAATCAAAACCAAATACAAGTGTTGATACAAGTGTCGTAAAAGGCTTAATAATTAAATATTATAATTACTATAAAGAGATGCAATGTATTTTCTTATCGCAATTCAAGTTATGGATGGTTATATAAATGCGAAGGCCTCGATGGTGTTTATATGTTTTATTTATATCGTTTAACACGTTGTGCATCTCTAAAGGATTCTAACACGTAATAAGTTGAACGTACATCGACCTTTGATTATTCAAATTTGAGTTTGAACTGAACTGCGAGAACTAAAAAACAGAATAATTGCAGGTTAGGCAAAGATATTTTCACATTCAGTGCTGTTTTACGAATCATGATCTAAAATATTTTGGGGCAAAAAAAATGACAGAATTGATAACAAAAATCGCCTTAATAAGACATCTAATGCCTCTCCTAAAAATACGATTCTGCACAAGGAGATGACGTATATTCACTTTGGCATAAATTGTAAAAATTACAAGGCATTTTATTAAAGGAGCAATGCCTACACACACACACATACACACATATATATATACCTACATACATACATACCTATGTACACCTGAGCATAAAGAGAAGCTACTTATCTGCTTTATTGAACGGAAGCAGGCATCAAAACATACAACGTCACGAGTAACGTTGTACAAGGCTCCATACTTGGGTCTGTTCTTTGGAACATACTGTATGTTGAGCTACTAACGCTACTGATGCCAAGAGGTATTAAGGCAATAGGATATGCTGGCGATTTGGCCATTGCTGCAACTGCAGCAAATGCAAAAGGATACAGAAGACTGAAGTTATCTTAATAACCAACCGAAAGAGGAGAGAATCGGTCGTTCTGAACATAGATAGTCATGGTAGTGCTGACTGCTTTCTTACGCAGATGGTCAGCGGCCATGACTGTTTACGGCAGTATTCATACAGTTTCGGCCATGAAAATGATGCTTTCTGCAATCATCGTCCTGTCGTAGAGGAAACGGCGAAATATGTTTTGTTCGAATGTCCACTTTTCCAATCCGAGGGAAATATAATTGAAGGTGTTATTGACGAGCGAATCAATCCCGAGAGTCTTATTGAAAATATGAGACGGTCGGTCTCTTGTGGAGCAATGTTAAAGAGGCTTACGAAGCCATGATGATCGAGCTGAGAAGAGCGAAACGCGCTCGCAGTAGACAAAGGACAATGGGGTAAGACAGACAAGACGAGTGAAGGCTCGGACGGCTTTGCCGACGTAGTACTTAGTGGCAGTTCCGGGTTTATCGTCGGATTTGTGGCGGGAGTTTTAGTTGAATGAAAGTCCTACGCTAACTTAACTTTTGAGGGCTTTCCCCCTCCTTAAACACACACACACATACACACACACACGTACATACATTGAATTACGAGGAAGAAAAGTATATTTATCTCATGATCTACGAGGAAGAAAAGTATATTTATCTCATGATCTACCCACACAGTTTTCAATAGTAGCTTGGAGTTTGCTTAATAATTTCTAGTTTGCTCTTGTTAATTAATTAACTTTAACAATCTTCATTCAGTTCTTTTTTTTTCTATTGCCTTGTTATTACGAGAATGCTTAACGTCGGCTGAACCTCATTTTCAATGTTAACCTGAAGTCATTACCGCTTTCCATGTCAATTTAGGCGGCAACGGAGGGTCCGGCTATAGCTAATGGATAAATTTTATTATGTACTATTACTATGCTGATTAAAAAGGTATATCTGATAGCAATAGTATAGTCGTATATTTTTTGTGTCGGCAATTAAAATTTTAATTTTTTGTTGAATTTCGTGGCTATTCTGCCTTATAGTGTGTGATTTTATAATATACTTTGAGAAGAAAGTGAGTGAATTCAAAGTAAAAGAAATATTTTTCTTTTACGATTTCATTTGATTCATTTGATTTTTGCAAACAAAAATTTTGAGCTCTGATAAAAATCTCTCTTTTTTTTGGTTTTCTCTCTTTTTCTCGGTTATTTCTTTTACTGTTTGGAGTTTGTGTTGCTAGTGATCTCTCGTTACAGTGTCAACCTAACAGAAAAGTTTTGCACAAATTGGTTGATAAATTTTTATGTTCAGGATTTTTTTTTGGGATTTGTGCGTCTGTTCTTCATAATCAACAACTGTCTTTTTGACAGGACATGGAGTGTTTATATACACCTTGTCGGGCGAAATCAGGCCCGGATTC